CAGAGTATGAAAGCTAGTGTTTGAACTGCATGCTTCTCTCAATTTCCCTTTTTATTCCTGTATTCTGTAACAAAGTGACAGTAGTGGGGAGAAAAAACTGCAGCGGTGTTGTAGTGAAAGCGTGAATTTTGCATTTGTGTCTCCCGAACGAGGTCAGCCAGGAGGAAGCAGGTCAAATGTGCACATAGGCAAATGCACACACCCAGCCTAGGCACACGCGCACACACATAATCACGCACAGGATATTGTGACACTGTCTGCAGCACGGTGGAGATGCCTGCACTTCTTCTTCTGCATCTTTCGATAGCCTGGGTTGGGAATTCGTTTTTTAAACTTTATCATGTTATAAATGGTCCCAAGCATAACTACAGCCTTTACATTAACCCTAAGGAAGTTTGTGTTGTACTTCTGAATATTTAAATTCTGTGCTTACACATTGTGGACACATACACGTTTGACAACCATTACTATTACTGGACAGCTCCTCCACCACATTAGACCTCAGAATACCTTTTAACTTCTTATTCAACGACATACAACGTCAACGTCAATGGATTTTTAAAAGTGACTGTTGGTTGATTTTAAGTCCTTCAAATGAAAATGTAGAGCATAAATTGTTAAAACAATGTGTCATACATTTGTGAATAAGTCTACAGTGTTTGACGCTTATTGTGTGACACACATGATAGGGAAGTGAATTTAAATTTAAAGACACTTTCTTTTCCATATTTGATATCCATTCTCTCATGGTGAATAACTATAAGCTTAATAATTGATCATTTTTACGTTAACAAGGGTGCTTTTTGTTTCTCGCTTTACTTCCTCTTCTGCTGAAAATGAGAAACGGACTCCACGCCGTCTCTTTCTCCTTTCCCTCGTTCAGTTTTTTAAGCTCAAACAAACGTGAAAATAGGCACCATATTCAAGCACTGGGACCTAACAGCTGCTAGTAATGGACTGGTAGTATTTTTGAGAGCCAAAATGTGGCTCACTCTCATTACTCCACGTGAAGTTTAATGAGCAGACACTGTTGTGTGGTGTGTGTGTGGTGTGTGTGTGTCCCTTTAAGATTTCATTAACTGACAGACACACAGTGCACATAGCTGCTTTCCCCAGCAGAGGAAGCCATAGTGCAGATTTTGAAACACACACAAAGCAGCATAACCACAGTAAGTAAAACACTAACTGACCTTCTGTCTCCTCCATGAATAATGCATTGATTAGTTTTAGTGTACTAAAGAATAGCACAGCTGCAGAGTAGGAGGAGTGTTAATATTTAAGCAAAGTCAAAAATCTGAAAGATTATTTATTATGTTTATTACAGGTCTTTGTTGTAAATGAGACATTGAGTCTCAATGGGACTAGCTGTATAAATAAAGGTTAAATAAATAAAAACATCAAAGTGTGACTGGATGCTTTAAAAAGTGCAGGTGAGCGTCACAATTGTTGGAACAGCTTGTGGCAAGAAATATGAAGGTGGTGGTTTTCCTATCAGTAAACCTGCCACCAAAGAAATAAGAATAATAAAAAGATGTGGAATTATTGGAAAAATAAACATGTTAAATGACTGGGCTAAGTAAATAATTACTTAATTGTTGTTGAATATGACTGGTAGCATGATTGTTTTAGAGATATTTGGAAATGTTTCTACTGTGAAACTTTTTGGTTAAAATAATCATGAAGTGGGAATCTGACCACGACGGCGCAAATTCTATTTTTATCCTTCAATAAAGTAATCTGATCAACTCAAAGCGAGTTGAGTGCATTCCTCGACAACAGGAGGAGCAGACAGTGGAATCCACAGCTGAATTCCAGAGCCAGCTCATCCGTCATGTGGCAGGTTACAGACTCACACCTCTTCCCACAAAGAACTGAGTCATCGTGGAGGTGGTAAAGGATGTGCAAGTTTACAGCAATATGGACAAATGAAACAGTTGGCAACAATTAAATCATTTTCAAATGACAGTCATATAGATGGCTTTTTGTGAGGTTTCACCTTCACTGGTTTATTTTTCTTATTTGCTTTCGCCAACCAAAAAACTCTCTGAACTTAATCACTCAATCGATTATGACATATGAAGACCTAATAGATATTTCTGTATGATTAGTCGAAGCCCTTTAACACCCCAGTGTGGTTCAAGGTTACAGTGTGTAAAAAACTTGCAAATTCAACGTGGATATTCATGGAAGTGTCAGCAAAGAATCTGGGTGTTATTATACGCACAGTTTGAGGAACTGGACGTGCAGGTTATAGCCTTAGAAAGACTTTTAAATACCAAAAAACCACATGGACAGGAAAGACATGTATTGAAGAGCTAGACAGAGTGCAACCAGTTAATTAGTAATGTGTTCAGTGTGTTAGATTAACCATATTGTGCCCTTGATGCGTACCAGAACACTGTGTCTTACCTTTCTCTGATGAAGTCTGTCAGCTCCTTAGTGGAAATTTGGCCATGCTTCATGTTATGGTAGAGCACATCAAAGCCATTATTTTTTTCCCCCTGTTTGGCAGACAGAAACAAAAAAAAAAAAGTGGAAGTTGATGCTCAGTCACTGCAAAAACCATTAAGTGTAGCAACACAAAGTCTGCTATTGATTACACATTACCGTTAAGGCTTTTTCTAGCAGCAGCGTTCTCATTTTTTGCATAGCTTCTATCTGCATCTGCAGTAAACTCTGGTCGACCATATTCATCTTGGCCATGTTTAAGAGAAACAACACTTGGAAATTAGCAAATCAACAGAAGACTGGTCGAAGGCTAAAACCTACAATGAAAGACACACCTGAACAGCTTTCTGTGCTGCTGTAACCATGCCACTGGGCAACAGTGTCCAGTTGCACTTTAAAAATGCAAAGACATTCTAAATAATTCATCTAGATGAAAAACAGCAGTTTTGTTTTAACCAGAATTATTGTCTTCTAGGGGTAGCTGAACAATCGATAACCCATAACGTTGTGATATTTTGTATCAATACAGGAACACACCAAATATCTACATTTTACTGAATAAAATTTAATCTTATGAACAAGAGGGCCCCTCTCATACAACACCATCCTGAGACAACATTAGTCAGCAAACTTACATTAAATTAGGTCAAACAAAGAACCGTCCAACACTGGACACACTTGGCTTGAGAAAGCCACCTCATAACTGGCTCAGTTACACGAGTAAGAATAGGATGGTTGTCCAAAACTTGAGGGTGTTGCACACTCATTACCACTTCTGATTGCTAAATGATTGCAAAGGTTGCTTAATAAGAGGCAACCTTTCGCAGTCTGACTTCGACTGGATGTAATCACTCTCAAAGAGATTGCCAAATGTCTGCAAATAATTGTTATCTACTTTATAAATGTAGTCAAGATTGCCAACATGTTGCCATTGGTCTGAATAAGTCTTTGTCAATGAGCACAACTTGACTCAAGTGGCTGCCAGCTGGTTGTATTCTGGTTACATTCCTACAGAACAGGAAGGTTGCTGAGTGCAACCTTAATAGTAGCTTTTCTGTCTATGCAGACAGCAACAAATATCTTTTTTAACTATTTATCACAGCTAAATGCTGTATTATCAAAAACCAATTGCATTTAATTACCAAATTGACTCATTTAATTGACATTGAAATGATATAAGACTTCATCAGGGTTCATCTAATGCCAACAGGAGGTTTTATTGACAATCTCATTTTGCAACAAAAAAATAACTTAAGTGAGATAACTTTAACTTATTGTATAAAACAGATACTGACAGAGTTTAACACACATCACAACACATCTTGAATCTTGAATAATTTGCAGTTGAGGAAAAATCACAACATATGTTCACAATATTGGATCGCCAGGTGTCTGTTTATTCCTACCTCTATTTTCTGTATAATTCCTAAACCACTGAAATTACAGATAACAACTGTCAACACACATCACACCGCATGTGTACGGGCGGTTATACTTATAGAACATTTTGCAGGAATAGAAAAGTTCAGTCTTTGATCAAATGTAAACTATGTTCGCATTGCCACTTCTATTGCAGACTTATGGAATTAAAATATGCCCGGAAAAAAGGTTCTGTAAAACATTAGGATGTCACAGAGAAGATGAACCTAACTTACTGTGTCTAATTCTCCCAAAAGCATAAAAAGTAAACAAATAAATGAGAATTCACGACATAAAAATGTTTAGTGAGGTCACACTACAATTCTTTATCTTCATGAGTCTTAAGTTTTTGTTGTCTGAAATAACTCGTCTAAAAGGGCATCCACACAGGAAGTGATGCGCTCATTGCATATTATTTTGCGGCTCATGGCTGGTCACTAGCTGACCTTCCAGGCTCCGACTGTCTGGACAACCTCCACCCTATCAAATGTCAATTGTCTGGGACTTGCGTCAATTGCTCACACTAAAGTTGAATAAAGTTTAAACATGGGATTTGTCCTAGTTATTAATTTCACTAACTTTTGGTCACACCTTCAGTGTCTCTGAAATTACTGTTTGTACTGTTTCCACTTTAGTGTACAAATACAAATGCCTTCTGAAATAGGATCAGGAAAACATGGATTAAAATACCACCTTATACAGTGTGAAGCACATGAGAAAGCTGCATTTTGTAGCTTACTGGCTGCAAATCTTACATGGATTTGTTCACGCAGCTGCTAGAGAATATTTTAAAAATGGGGCCTGGGACAAGCTAGACTCTATAGCTGAACTTGATCTTTGACCAACAAAGTCGAGCCAGTTCATCCCTGAGTTAAAATTAATGATTGTGGCACATGAGGCCCCTCCAGGTGAGATATTACATTCATGAGAATAGGATGAACAACCTGGAAACATAATGCCTTTGGCCAGAGCAGCTGTGAGTGACTGGGGTAAAATAAAAAGATTGAACTTGTACTATAATGGCTGTAGTGCATGTATGTCTGTTTCCTATCCCCACCAAGACACGTTAATCAATCTGGATAAAAACTGATATATCAACTACCCAGGTAGCAGTATTATCAACATATATATATCTTTTGGTAATTATTTTTATAACCCTAAAATCCTTACAAATTACATATATTATGTGCAGTAGCTGATCTCAAAACAAACAACGACATTAAATGTACACTACATGTACAGTGTTGTCGACAATACTTGTACATTTCTGTTTGTAAATATAGTTTGCTAAATTTTAGTGCAGTGGCACTTTAGGGTAACTGGAATGTGTGAAATTTACGAGCAACTGGGACGGTTAGAGGTTAACACCAGATCAGCCAAGGCTTGTTACACATTACAAAACCATTTGAAACACAACACTGACTACAAAACCTAGCTTTGATTGTACAAGAAAATGTGTGGCTCTTTGAAGCTAATACAATTAGCCAACGACTAAAGAGGGGGAGATTGAAGTGAATTGGACAGCCTGAGAGCGATTCCAGTAGAGAGCATTACAACCTTACAACCCTTTGTGGCAACAGGGACAAAGAGGACTGAACTGAGCTACTGCACACAGTTCATATATCAGCTCATGATATCTGCATTAGGAGTGTAGATTTTATATGTTTATAAAACTGCTGTTGTCTGACATGACTTATTTCACATTGGCTTGTGTTAACTAGTTTATAGGAAACGACAATGACGTGTTTTTGCAGCTTCACAGCAAAAGAAAGCTGCACGGGACAGCCATGGCCAATGTCTTACATATGCTTGAGCAAACCGAGAAATGAAATATTAAACACTAGAACTGATAGAAAAGTTGGCTTGTTTAGACCACTGCAAAGGCAGCATAATCAATCAATCAATAATCCATCTGATGCCATCAGATGTGGCGGAATAAAACCGATTATGATGGGTTTGTGTTTGCATGACTGGTCTTTGGAAAATAGATCTGGTCCCGATTTCTAACCCTGTGCAGGGGTTGCAAATCTATGGCTACAGATGCATAAACAAGAATATGATATGAAAATAAACAATTTCTAGCATTTTAATTTGTTTTAGTTGTTGTTATTGTGGTTTGCAGGTACTTACTGCTATATGCAGCTAAAGAAAAAAAATGAAGACCTTCTCCTACTGACTTGGACTTCAATCAAAATGAAATTCAAACTAGCCAATGTCTTTATTTCTTTTATCTTTCCCAATTTAAAAGCTATTAGGCCGCTTTTATTTATTATCAAATGAGTCTACTTTTTATTTGATTAAAACATGCGGAGGACAGATTTTTCCTCGACTTCACATTTGGTCCACGTGCCAAAAGATTTTAGTTTTTCACTCCTATTAGCAATGTTGCCATGCTAATTTATACTTAATAGGACATGTCATTCTGTATGATGCTTAAATTTGTTTTAGGGTGTCACAAGCAGTTCTTTGGTCAAAAATTTCTATTAAAAGTGAGTCTTTTGACCCCTACTCTAAAGCAATAGCTGTCCAACACTGGTAATAACCTTCTTTAACATATTTAAGCTAAACTTGGGCATACAAATGTGAAAACAGCGTAAAGATAGCTCTTTAAATGGTAAATGGCCTGCATTTGTATAGCGCTTTTCTAGTCCCTAAGGACCCCAAAGCGCTTCACACTACATTCACCCATTCACACACACATTCACACACTTTAGGACAAAGTTGAATAATTTCACCCCCCCCCAGCCACATAGACAAAGAAGATAAAGACCCAGACTAGAGAATGTCATCAGATTTATTTTCGATTTAAACATATCCTCTTTTTCCAGCTTTACTTCCTCATTGGCCTTCTTGATTGCTTCAGCTCAGGAGGACACATGCCTTACTAGAAGCCTCAAAAGATGTCAAAGGAAAATCAATAACGGTAACATGACTAAGAACACTTTATTGGCACATTTGTTGTGATATTTTGGGAAATGAAATGTAAAAGCGATAAATGCTGATAAAACCGCAG